AGCTAGTGAACATTGCCCTTAATTGTGCCTTTTTTTCCATCAAGCTTTGCAAGCTACGAAATGAAGAGGCGAATCGTGTGACTCCGGGTCTTACTATGTCCCTCCTTTTAGTGTAAGACCTCATCATGGATAAGGTCTTATGATGTGCATAAATGAATATAGTCAATGCCTTTGCTTGTTCAATGGTTTTGGTGAACCGGGGTAGTTTTGCAATGCCCTTCAAGAAAAGATTGATGGTGTGTGCGGCACATGAAGTCCAAAAGATAGTTGGCCTCTTTATGCGCAATAACTTCGCCGCTCCCATATTATTTGAAGCATTATCCGTCACAACTTGAACAACATTCTCGGGCCCAACTTGCTCAATGCATTGATCCATATACTCAAAAATCATTTCACTTGTGTGAGATATATCGGAAGATTCCTTGGAAGATAGAAATATCGTTCCCATTTTAGAATTCACACACAAATTCATGATGCTTCTTCTCTTTCTATCACTCCAAGCATCCGTCATAATCGAGCAACCACTCTTCTTCCATTCATCTTCATGAGGCTTCACCTTGAGTTTTGTTCTCTCAACCGCTTTCTTCAACAATGGCTCTCTCATCTCATACGAACTAGGAGGCTTCCACCTCGGCCCAAATTGACCGAGCGCTTCGCTAAAGAGCTTAAAGCTATCAAGCTCGGTTGCATTGAATGATATGCCCGCTTCATAAGCCCAATCGACGAAATAATCTTTCACCAAGTTGGATCGTTCTTTCCAAATAGCATCATTAATGTTTTGTTCCCGCATCGTCTTTGCCACGTTCAATGATGCTTCCGGGTTGATTTTTGTAGCAAATCTATCCATTGGGCCAAGAGAGTGAGATTTTTTTGCTTTTTCGCATTGTTGAGAGGACTCAACATTCAACCCTTTAATGTTAACCGAAGATAGCAACTCTTCTTGAACTTCTTTTGTCTTCATCTTCTTGGCTTTGGACTCATTAATGGCATTTCTACATTTAGCTTGATCTTCTTTTGTTGCTTTTTTACATGAAACAACATTCCCGAAAATTTGACCAATATGCTCTTTCAATCTACGTATACCACCCGACATAACTTTACTACATAACACGCATTTCACTCTATCTTTATTGTATGGATCGGCTAGAACACCATAGTTCCAACCTATGTCATCCGACTTTCTTTTAAATACTTGAGAATCATTCTCGGCCTCGGTGGATGTCCGTGAATCACACGGAGTACTTTTTGATGCCGAACTACTAGCCATTGCAAAAAACCTAACAAAAAATAGTGAATAATATTAAATTAACAACATTGTTGCAAAAAAAAAAAACACAATATACATGAATGTATATTCTTTTTTTTTTCAATTTTCGAATGTTAGTATGTTACATACTTGAACTTTTACTAAGTTATCTCTTTGGAATTTTATCGAACACATTGTCTACATCCTTATGGTTTAATCATTACACAACACAATGGTATTATAGCTAACCAATCAACACCAAATTTCATCAACTTGATTCCAATAAATTTCAAGAAATCCTAAAATTAACAAAACCTAATTAAAATTTAGAAGTTACAACCAAGTGAACCAAGTCAAATGTCCAATAATTCCATATAAAAGAAGTTTAAAAATACCTGAGAGAGGCTTGACCGCTCGAGTATCCCGTCAATGGAACTGGCCGACGGTGATTCAGGTCGGCGGCGCGTCGAGGTG